AAATAAAAATCTGAGAAACATATGTTCTATAAAACGTATGGGAAGTAGACAATGCTAAGGTTGTGATAGAGTAAATCGCCACATTTTTGAACATGCTGTATGTTATATAAAAGCAATGTTTATAGAGACATAGTACAAGACAAATAATAAAAGTAAAAATATTCAAAGGAATTACAATGAAGTTTGTCTTATTAATGGACTCAATTGAGGGGATTGGATCCCTATATGGCTAGGCATTTTCCAGACATAAATGTGACTAGTCTACAGGTTCCTTAGTATTCTAAAGGGAGAAATAAAGGTTTAATAGAGTGTTACCCTGGAGTCATTAATGTAATCCTTTAAATGTATAGGTGTTTGATTTTCATAGCAATCACTGAATATTTCAACAGTAATGTAAGAAATTTGCCTCTGGGTGTCTTCTAATGACTTTTTATGTGACATGATTGCCTATTGGCTTAGAAAATAAATTAAAAATCCCAAGAACATTGTGGCTATTTTCCATCCTAGCCGGCTTTCAGGCTTTGTTCTAAATGAAGCTGATTTTAAAGGTGTTTATGGTAAGACAATTAGAAGAAAAAGAAATTTCAGAAAGAACAAACTTATTCAACATGTTCTAGCCCCAGTTAAGACCTCATACATCATAGTTTATATGTAGTTTTCTCTAATCCAGCTTGATGGTTATCTAAGAGAGGGAAAAGGAGGCAACCAGACAGACACAGACACACACACAGACACACACACAGACACACACACAGACACACACACACACACACAGACCCTCTAAACATTTTCTCTCTGCTATAAGTATAAAATAATTCTACAGTGTCCATGGTTTTATTTTTTTATTTGTTTTGTATTTTACATGTGCATTTAACAGCAAATGATCAGGGTAGTTTTGAGTGCTCTTTAGTATATAGATAGGGAGCTTGCTTTGTCATAGGTTTGAAGAAAGATTCCCATTTCAATTGAGGTGCTAGCAATATACTTTTGTTACTATGTCTCCAGCCTTTCCTCAAATACATTAAGAATGAAGTTCACCAAGCCTCAGTGTCACAGCAGACAAGTGGCCTCGCTGTGTGCGAGATGCATTGAACATGAGTAGGTGGCAAGATTAAGTTTTAGACCTACAATCTATCCCTTCCCCTTGGGCCTTGGGTCAAAATCTATAGAAGTTTTCTGATCATGAGGTCAATTTCTAACCAATGGGGATGCTAAAAGCTCTCAAGTAATATAGGCCTTGTACGGACTAAATATATGAGTACAAGAGTTGGTATTGGAAATAAAAGTAAGTCCTTTTTATCTTCATTATTTTCATTATGGGGTGTTCTTTGGCGATAAAGATGTTCATACAGTGTATCCCACTATTCCCAGGTGAGTTTCAATAAATGAAATCAATTCAGCTACCTTCAGTGACTTCCAGAGAGACAACTTCAAAGGGCAATAGTAGGATGGTGAACAATGGGGGTCCCCCTGTGTGCTTCATGCTCTAGTTTTACACAGAAAAAAACAACCTTACTGTCTAGCTTGAACAGAATTTCTATAGCAACTTCAATCAAAAATAAACTAAGTGTCACAGAACCAAAGGGAGTTGAAAATAATGTTGTATTTCATTAAATGAAGTCACTTTTAAGAGTGATTTTCTAAGGTCTAAAAATAGTGAATTTCTTTTTGTTGTGCCCTCGTGGGTTTGCAGCAAACTTTGTGAAATGCCAAGATTTGATACTGCTTTGAACAGATTTTCAAGTGCACCAAATACATAGCAAATCTGATCTCTCCTCTTTTTAAAATGCCTCCCTTAAATACACATGCAAAAAGCATGTCCTACTTGTATGAAATAGATGAAGACACATGAAAGATTAATTTTGAAGAGCATAAGAAATGAATTCTAGATAAATTAATTGAAATTATACATTTAAAAATCATAGGTTACATATATGGAAAAATTTCCAATGGGAAATTTCCTAGTGAACCTTCAGTTTACCACTCTATTAATTCCTGGTGTCTGGGGACAGTAACAACATAGAACATATGGGAGTGGACAGCTGATGTTTGTATTAACTTAATACCCACCCACACGAGGTGTCCCATGCCCTACACTGTCTGGATGGTCAGGAACCAGACACTGGGTGGCCCAACCAACCAAACGAACAAAATGATTCTTAATGATATTCTTCTAGACTCATAGACCAGTGCCTTATCTAGTCATCATCAGATGGGTTTCCTCAGGCAGCAGATCAGAGTGGGTGCAGAGATTGACAGCTGACATTTGTACAGAGAGAGAGAGAAAGCCTAAATTGAAGGTTTCTATCAGGTCCAAAGGTTCCATGCTCAGAGATCAGGGAATCCTGAGGAAGAGGGTTAGGAGCAATCAGAGACAATGGAAGGCACCCAGGGAACATGGTCCACCAGATCAACTAAGCAGGTATCATATGAGCTCACAGAGAAGGAAGCAACAAGCCACGGGCCTGCTGCATATATTATGGTCTGCACCAGGTCCTTTGCATATATATATTGTAGCTATTAATTTGGTTGTAAGACTCCTAACAGTGTATTTTTGCTTCCTTTTTGTTTATTCTTCTCTCATATATCCCAATAACAGTTTCCCTTTCCTCCTCTTGATCCAGTCCCTCCCTGTACCTTTCATCTCCCCGAGATCCATTTCTCCTCTGAAAGGGGCAGACATTCCAGGGATACCAACCAAACATGACTCAACAAGCTGTACTAAGAATTGGCACATCCCCTCATATTAAGGCTGGATGAGGCAGCCAAGTTGGAGAAACAAAGTTTCCAATAGCAGGAAAAAGAGTCATAGAGAGACCTACTTCCACTGTTAGGAATCCCATAAGAACACCGAGCTACACAAGAATAAAATCTATGCAGAATAACAAGCTTAGACCCATACAGGGTTCATGATTACTGCTTCAGTCTCTGTGATCTCCTATGTCCTCTGCTTAGTTGATTCTATGGGCTATGTTTTTGTGTTATCCTTGATCCCTCTAGCTCCTACAATAATTCCTTCCTCTCACTTTACTACAGGATCGCTCAGCTGAAAGTTTGCCTGGGGGGGGTGGTCCCTGTTCATGTCACTTGCTGTTTGCAACCTCTCTGACGACAGTTGGGTTAGAAATCAATCTATGAGTATAGCAGAGTAGAGAAGACTACCAGTAAGAATCCTTTAGTTGACTTATTTTGTTGTGGGCAGGCAATCTTGTTTGGTTATATCCCAAGTCTCTGGGCTGTCCAACCTGCAGTTCCTGATCCTCCCTTTTGTGGCATGGGACTCTAGTTGGACAAGTCATTGGTTGGCCATTCCCACATAGTTCTATGCCACCTTTACCCCAACACATCTTGCAAGCAGAACAAATTATGGGTTGGAGTTTTTGCCGTCAATGGAAGAATGAATAAAGAAACCGTGTTACATTTGCACAATGGAGCATTAATCAGCTGTCAAAAGAAATGACATCATGAAATTTGCAGGCAAATGGATGGAACTAGAAAAAAATCATCATGAGTGGGGTAACAACATAAACAAGGTGTGTCCTCACTTATAAGTGGGTATCAGCTGTTAATTAAAAGATAATCATGTTACAATCCCCAAACCTAGAGAAGCTGGGTAAGAAGGAGGACCCAAGGGAGGATTCATGGGTCTTCCATGCAAGGGGAAATAGATGTAGCAGGGGGAGAGGAAGAGATGGATGTCAATGGGAGCAATCAGGTGGGCAGGGGGATGGAGAGAGAGAATGCTGGCAGAAGCAATTGGAATTGGTGGGCACTTTGAGGTTGCCATAGAAACCTAGTGCATTGTAAACTCCCTGGAGTCTATGAGAATTACCCTAATGAAGACTCCTAGCAATAGGGGATGCAAAGTCCAAATGGGACAACTCCTGTGACCTGTCAAAGTTTCCAGTGGAGGAATTAGGACAACGACTCAGCCTTTTACCTACAATTTGTATCTATTAGCCTTTTGCCTGCTCTTGGGCCTCTTTTCCTCCTGTTGGATTGCCTTGTCCAGCCTCAATATGAGGGATTTTTCTTGTCTTATTGTATCTTGTTTTGCCATGTTTGCTTGTTGTCTCTTACATGCCTGATCTTTTTCTGGAGGAAACTAAACAGAAGGGGCATAGATATGAGGGAGTTGTGGAGTGTTACATGATAAATAAAAAAAAAAAACTAGAGACTGGTATTGGGGTTCAAGCTTTAAACTGAAGATCAGAGAAACAAACCAATCAAGATAGTAGATCTTACATCTACTCAGCGGAAATAGCAATCCTGTCTCCACAAATCCTCAGAGGCAACAGGCTCTGAGTTCCTGTCTCCTCCTCCTTTTATTCCTTTCACCACTCAGTCATATCCTCCTGTGTCTACCACTCTAGTTGTGGGATTAAAGATGTGTAATCCCAAGTGCTGAGATCACTTTTGTGTGGGCTGTTTCTCTTAGGACTGAATCAATTTTGTGCAGTCAGTGTGGCCTTGAACTAACAGAGATCCACCTATCTCTTAATCCTGAGTCCTGGGATAGAAGGTGTGTGCCACCACTGCCTGAGACTGTCTTTGCTTTCTGAACCATCAGGCAAGCTTGCATAAATCATAGTTAATATATCACCACCGTCGAGAAGTATGACCAGAGAAACTAAGAGGAGTGGAAGGACAGGAAACTGTGGGTGGGATGTGTTGTATGAGAGAAGAACCTATTTTCATTATAAACAAAGCAACAAAAAGAAAGCCCCTTCTCTTTTTGTGCTTTCTCCAGGAGATTTTCCATGCTCAGCCTCCCCATTCCTGGGGATACTAATAATAACTGGAGGCAGCAGCTGAGAAAACCTTTGATAAATACAAAAAGAAAAATCTGTTTTGGCTGAAAGCACAGTCCTCAAGAGCATCCCTGTCCCCGAGATTCTGAAGCGCTGTTATAAATGTTCTTGCAATGGTTATTTTTGACTGATTTTTGGTGAATCCTCCTTAAGGATCGAAACTGTGATAATGTTTATCTTCCCATCCAGACTCAAGAATTGAAACACGCTTGGGAGAGGATACTCAAGCAAAGCCTGCACAGCCTCTCCGAAATAAGGCTCCCCTCAACAGCAAATGAAAACACACCAGCAGGAGCCAGGAAGAGTTTTCAACTTAGCGAGTAAGAGCCACTTATGAAGCCCAGACGATGTTGTTGATGTCAGACATTTAGTTCAGGGGGAAGCAGGTGAGAGTGAATTTATTAACTGAATGGGAAATGGAGTTACTTATAGTCACCCAGAGTTTGGCAGAGCAAAGTCATTTAGTTTAAAATTAACAAACCTCATAGAAATCTGATTTTTCCCTGACTATGTAGCACTTCATCCTATGTGAAAAATGATACATTTGAATATGTTCTTTGATATCACACTCACGTCTTAACTTTGACCATTTCTTTTCCCCACTCTGGGCTCCATTGAAGATGGAAAAGAATGGGGAGAGCACAGAAATTGTGCTTTCCTTTTGTTTTCTGTGCTGTCCTGGTTCTCGTTGTTGATACTCCCCAAGAGGCACACTTTGCTCTTCGGACACATGGCCCTCTGCCATGTAACTTATTGTCGTCCTTGGGAAACAATCTATGGGTGGCTCACTCTTCTTCTTGCACTATAGATTACCCACGCAACTCTCTGAGTTCTAGGTGCTATTTCTTCTCCAATATCAGCCTTAGGTAATCCAAAGCCTGGGCTTTGGAGTCATTACCATAGGAGCATGGGGGACTGACAAATAACCTGTGAAAGAATGATAATGTCTAGCCAACTGATAATCATTTCTATTCTTGAATAAAAATTCTTGTTAAAATCTGTGATGCCTGGAAGTCCACAGAGATAGATTTCAGCCTTCAGACTGGATTGAATAGGGCACTGAATTCTGTTTTGTTTTCTTTGTTCTTTTCTGTGTGTCAGCTATGTCAATTTAATAATGACATCTGCATATAAAATTAGGTACTGGGCCTCACATCTATATATCATATCATCCATGAGTTTAAAGAGCTAGTCTCAGCAAATGATTATTATTGTAATTATGGGCTAAAAGCCCTGATGTCAAACATCTGTATCAAAGGGAACTCTACTCAGAGTTTTGTCACTGGAAATGGACTGATCACAAACCATCTGTAAATTTATCATAAAGACAGGAAGAATAAAAATTCTAAATAAAATATTAAGATAAACCTTAAGAGTAAAATGTGTCCCTAGTATGTGTAAGGCCTTGGGTCCTGTCCTCATCATTGCAAGGAATAAACAAATGAATAAATAAATAATAAGTAAATGAGTATAATTTCTTCAGTTAGTGAGGAATGGCCTTGGTTCATCCTTGACACTATCATATGCTTGCTAAGAGAGGGATAGAATTGGAATGCCTCTCTAAAATTATTTTTCACTGAACTTTTAGATTTGTGCAAATCTGGATGCTTAGCAATTCTGAGTCTACCAGAATGGGCATTATGTAAATAGAAACGCCCATGCTTTGTGTTTCCTCAATGTTTTTCAAAGGTCATTCATGAGATAACAGGGCATTATTCACTGACTCATATATGAGGGTTTCACATTGTTTTTTGTATCGCAGAGTTCATATCACCCATGTCTTTGTATGTGTGCAAATTAAAGAGAAATGTGCTATCAGCCTCAAAATAGAGAGTGGTGCTTTTTGAAGCAATTTTAGTGGATATGTTATAGCACAGGCTTTAAGGATTTAAATGCAGTGTAAATTAGGTAGTCCAATATTATTTTGCTTGCTAATTAAAATAGTCATTCCACTGTATATTTTGTAGCTTATAACAAGTTAAACACTCCTATACTGTTGACTGCATAAGGATAACACTTGTTATGCAGTAAATATGTGATGGAATGAGAAAGGTATTGGAAAAGCCATGTCACAATATATTGCTTTCACAAATCTGTAACAGGGAAGCTCATTAGGAAGTTAAACAGATGATTATTTCAGAGAATAATAGTCACACAGAAATACAGAGGAATTACAGAAACAGACTTAATTTAGAAATTAATTAACTATGCAGTGCTAGGGTTTAACTTGTACCTAAAGGGATGAATAGGGATTGTCAGATAAACAAAGAACAAATGATATTCACAGATAAGACAGTGTTAATGCCGAGGAGTAAAGGAATGAAAAAAACTGAGATGAATTCAGGAGGATGCATAATTTGCTATTCAGACCATGATGCACTTGAGAGTACTAGTGGATATTAGTAATTAAAAGTACATTATGCTTTAGAATACTGTTGATCCGGAAATTGAATTTAATGTTGATAAATATTTGTAATAATTCTAATAAAATGCTATCAAAGTAATTTTTAAAATTAAGAAAGAGTTGTACATATTAAAATATAAAAATGCTCTTTTCCATTTCATTATCTGAGCATTAAACCATAGAAATAGAGTAATTAACTCTGATGAGTTATTGATATTTCATTCTTGATTCAGCTTCTGGTATTTGGAAAGTATTCTTAACAGATAACTTACAGTGAGCACAAAAATTTTTACTTTTCCACAGACTATCCTGAGACTATAAGGATGCACCAAAATTGTTGTGAATTAAAGGTGTTTTTTGTTAACAATTAAATATGTGTGTATGTTTGTATGTGTGTATGCACATGTATATATATGTAATAATAACCAAAGACAAAGAAGTTACCAACTTGAGAATGTGGGGTGTGGGGAGGATATAGAAGGTGTTTGAGGGAGGGTACCTAGGATGGATAGAGGGAGAAAGGGGAAGCAGGGAAATATATAATATTGTTTCAGTTAAAAACACACCTATTGAGCCAGACTATGTTGACTCCTCATGGGAGTATTTACCTGTGAGGAGGACTGGGCTAGGGAGGAGAGAAAGGGTGTGGGGTGGGAGGAGGGGTGGAACGAAAAACTGTGGTTGGAATGTAAAATGAAATAAAAAATTAAACAAAAAAAAAACTGGAAAGAACCCATAGCCTCAGAAAAAGAAAACTGCAGTATAAAGGACCGGGAATATTAACACTTGTAGAATCCTGGAACAAGACCTAATTCTGGATCACATAGTTGCATTTGCTCACACATCTCTCTATCATTTTTCACTGTAGCCTTCCTTCCCCTGATAAGGACTGTCTATGTCCTCCTTTCAGTTCAGTATGGTTGTTAAACTAAGATGCCTTTTATTAAATAACTCGATTACAATAAATCATTATAATAAGCGTGTCTTAAAACCTATGTTTTCACAGAGGAGATGAAACAAAACTCAGACAGTAAAGCGATTCAGGGCTTACAAATCCCACCGAAAGCAGATAGCACACCACTCCAGGCATGGAGAAGAGACAAACAGTTTGAGACCTGTACACTCACGAATAGGGATGTAGCAAAGGAGAAAATGTGTGGACCTGTAAGCTGAAAACTTTACAGATGTGTAGAAGGAGATTTTTTTCTACTTCGGTCCCACTAGACTGGTTTTCCTTCTTCCACCGGGTCCTACTGTGGCTTTAAATAAATAACCACTCTGGCCGGGCATTGGTGGCGCACGCCTTTAATCCCAGCACTTGGGAGGCAGAGGCAGGTGGATCTCTGTGAGTTTGAGGCCAGGCTGGACCAACAGCCTCCAAAACAGAGAAACCCTGTCTCGTAAAACCAATAAATAAATAAATAAATAAATAAATAAATAACCACTCTGATGCTTACAATCGTTTAGCCAATGGATTAGGCTTCTTTCTGGCTGGCTCTCTCTTAATTATTAACTCCCGTCTTTTGTATTAATCCCTGTGTTTCCATGTGTGGCTACATGGCAATTCTCCTTTTTCTTTCTTCTGCCTATTTTTTTGTTCCAAATTCCTACCTAACTAAAGTCTGCCTGTGCATTGGCTGAAACAGCTTTATTCATCAACCAACAAAAACAATACGTATTTGTAGCATACAGAAGGACCTCCCACATTACTGGTTTTTAAAAATAATTTTGTATTAATTCTTTGGAGGTTTTGATCATATTCAGCCCCTCTCCTTTAATTCCCACAGCTCTATTTAGAGTCTAAATTATCTAAATTTTAGACCAATCACATAGGAGTTTGGTGGAGTCACATGGTGACTGAGATGTGTTTCCTGCTGCAGCTCTGACAAGTCCATAAGAATAGTTGAGTCAGTGGGAGCAGGTGACTAGCTGAATCCAGAACTCTATATACAGGATGTTATAGAGACCAGTTATGCAAAGCAGATGTCTAGATAAAACAGATCAAGTAACTGCAAAGAGGCAGAGAATGGTACACTGTGTTGATGGTAACTAAACTGGGCTTCCCACAGGAGAAAAATTAATCTCATTCAAAATGGAGGCAAAATTATCATAGTAATTCACCAAAAAATTTAATTATGGCAAAATATGCCCTCCCTAAGACTATTACCATCAATAGCTTATGCAAGTTGGGGCTAATCAAAGCCAATCTACCCAGTGTTATTACCATTGCCTCAGTGGATGGATGCGGTAAGTAACTAGGAAGCCATTTTCAGTCTGCTTGTATTAAGATGTAGATGAACGTCTAGGTTGTTTTCAGTATTGGGAATTACTCGGCTATTTTTAAAAAAATGACACCATGAAATTTGAAGACAAATGGATGGAACTAGAAAAAACTTACTGCGAGTCTTAATCTAGACCCAGAAAGATAAACATGGCATGCACTAAGTTGTAAGTGGATATTACATGTTAAGTAAAGGACAATCATGCTGCAAGTCTATACCTAAAATGGCCAAGTAGCAAATAGGGCTAGAAGGAGGTGCATGGGTCTCCTAGAAAGGGAAACAGAATAGATTTTATGGGTGGACCGAGGTTGGGTAGGGATAAGAAGAGGAGGGATTAGGTGGGGGATGGATGCAGAGAGTATTAGAATTAGGGAACATTTGGTAGGCAGCATGGAAGCCTAGTGCAATGGAAACTCCCTAGAATCTACAGAGGGAGACCCTAGCAAAGACTCATAGTAATGGAGGATACTAAGCCTGAACGGGCCATCTTCTGTAGCCAGGGAAGGCTTCCAGTGGTAGGATTGTGATACCAACCTAGCCATAAATCTTTTGACCTACAATTTGTCCTGTCTGCAAGGTGTGCTGGGATCATGGTGACACAGAACCTGTGTAAGTGGCTAACCAGTGACTGGTTCAAGTTGAGGCTCCCACCATTTCGGAGAGCCCATGCCTGACTCTGCCCGGATGATCAGGAACTGGA